AGGAAATTTTCCCATTTTCCAGCTGCTCCTTTCTCTGGGGAAGCTGTGCTAGGACAGAGTGCATGTCAGGGAACCACGCTGGCTGGATTCACATCGTGACCTTATCAGGACAAGTGAGACCAAAGGTTAGTGGGGAATGACGTAGTGCAGGTAACTGGAGTTACCTTGGTGCAACGTGCTGCTGCACCAGTGAGCTTTGCTTGTAGCTTTTATTGCTGCCTTGGCGTTTTTTGCACATAGAAGGGCTGGAGAGGAACAGGGATGAGTTAACAGTGAGAGAAATATTGAAGACTATAGAAAAATGTGGGAGAAAAAGCAACTCTGAAGTGCAGCACTGTGGTTGGAGAGGGTACAGGCAGTAGACTGAAGCAATTGGTGAAAGGGAAAACACAACTTTGATACAACTGGTCCATGAAAATGTGGCTTTCCTCCCTATCTCCCTTTCTAGGAAAGATGTTTCCCCATCTAAGCTCTAACACAAACTTTTCTACAGATAACACTTCTTTCTTTCTCTGAGAGAGGCTTTTGCCCTGAGAAAGTTTTTGTCTTTGTTGTGTTGTGTTTGTAGAAACATGAGTGAAAACTGGGCCGTTGTGGTACTGGAGTGGTGGAATGATCCTCAACAGCAGAGAAATGTTTGTATTCCAAGCCATTTGGTTGCTTTCTAAGCAATAGTTTGCCTTTGCACTACAAATAAATATCCCACTATTTTTTGCAGTTATAAATTCATACCTGTGGCACTGCTATCTATCCCAATTGTGATATTGCAAATCATGTGACTGCCTGGAAATGTGTGTGATTATCAGGATTCGGTCATCACAGCAAATAAAGGTGAAAGGATAACTGCAGGATAACTTTCTGCTGCATGGAAGGCAAAGTTTATGTGAGGTGCCACTGCTCTGGGCAGCCAAGAGCCAGAGGCTTCCCCAGGCACTGTTGAGCCACTCACTGAGAATCCATTTGGACAAAACTGGGGGAAAAGCAGCAGCTCCTTGTGTACAGGTCCCAGGTTTTCCTTCAGTTACCAGAAGTGTGAGATCCTGCCTCTGCAGCCCTGCAAACCTCTGCTGGCATGAGCCAGCAGCTTCTTCCACCTTAATGCAGGATGCTGCAGGGCAGGATCTGTGCTTGAGATGCTGCAGACTTTCCTACACACAGGATGTGGGATTATATCTGAGACTGTCCATTTCAGGAAGTTTTGTCCTGCTGATGGCCTAAGGCTCTAAAGCTAAATAAAGGGATTTTTTTTAGTTTGTTTTTGAATGGTTCCAAGGCTCACAAGTGAGCTGTAGCCAGTGGTGGTGTAAGGATGGGGTAGGTGATGGAAAGCCTTCCAAGCCTGCAGCAGTAGCTCCGTTCATTTCCTAAATGCCCAGCGATTACACAACGACTCCTTTTTGTTTTCCACCTCAGAGAAGTTATATTTATTTTTGCAACAGCTGCACTGCCTTTAGATCTTTCTCTCTGTCATGCAAGGTTCATGGCACAGAGCTTCTTGCCCTTTGCCCTGCCCATAGGAACTTTCCTTTATTGCTCTGGCTGGGTTTGAAAGGGCTGAGCAGCTCTCCCCAGGGACCTGCTATCCTGCGATGTGAACACTTCCCAGGTGAATTTAGCTGTGTGCATATGACAGGTGAAAACAGCTCTTATGCCAACAGATAAGAGTTGGGTTTATGAAGAGTTTACTGGGTTTGTGAAGAGCTTGATTAGATAGGCAAGTTCAGAAAAATCCAGAGTCAAGGTTTAGAACTGTTTCTGTCACATAGCCTGTGCAGGGAGTTAATGCTAAAGAGCTGATGATGATCCTCTGTGTACAAGTGGCCTGAAAGTCTCTTTAGTCTGTTGCTTCTGCAAGTCCCACCTGCCCTGGAGGTGACAGAGGAGCCAGTGAGGCATCAGCTCAGCACAGCAGCCCCAAGTAACCCCCTTTGAGCTGGAGAGAGCCACTATTGTTTTTCTTCCGCTCCCGAAGAGTTCAAAACAACAAAACTGAGTGTATACCTGGGGTGGAATTTATCCATCCAGATGCTTTGATAGCTGAGTAACTACCAAATTCTGTGATGGGACTTCTTTTCAGTGGTAAAATGCCCAACATGCAGTCAGACATGCAGGTACCTTGGCAGGCAACAAGGGAAAGCATTTCCAACATCCTGGTAAAATAGTCTTGGGGCATGTCTCTGGTCCCCGGCTGTGAGGCACTTGCTGCTGCTTTCTTCTATTCCCAAAACTTGGTCTAACCTTTTATCTGTGAACCTTTCAATGCTGAGGTGGTTTTTTTGCATGTAAGCATATTTGTGAAAAGCATGCCCCTTTAAATGTGTGAATGGGTGAATTAATCTCTACCTTATTTTTAGCAATGCTTGCATCATAGAAAGTTTTCCATTTCTCTCCTGCCCCCTTCCCCCACATGTGGTAAACTTGCAAGGGCTCTTAAAACTGATTTCCTCCTTGTGTTGGTGATGCTGAGCTGGTGTCCTGCCCCGGGGCTAGAGGCAGCTCTGCGCTGCAGCCCCACATCCTTTCCCTGGTAGAAGCTGCTGCTGCAGCTGACCAGGACAAAAATCTGCTCATGGAATCATAGAATCACAAATGCTTTGGGCTGGAAGGGACCTTAAAGCTCATTTTTCGCCAACCTGCCATGGACACAAACACCTTTCATTATCCCAGGTTGCTCCAAGCCCCTCTCAACCTCTCCTTGAACACTTGTGACTGGAGGCAGTCACAGCTGCTCTGGACAGCCTGTGCCAGGGCCTCAGCACCCTCCAGAGTTAAGAATTTCTTCCCAGTGTCTATTCAGTCCAGCCCTACCCTGTGTCAGTTTGTAGCCATGTCCCTTGTCCTGTCACTGTCTGCCCAAGTTAAAAGTTGCTCTCTGTCTCTTTTATGAACTCACTTTAAACACTGGAAGGCTGAGAATCTGGTGGGTGATTTCTTTGCTTGTGCAAAAATGTTCCTGCCCTAGATCTGCAGGATTTTAGGTGTGTGTGACTTAAGGCAGCCCAGGTACCCAGGGATTCCCAGCACAGGGACCTTCAGGCCAGATGCCCTGCCGGGGAGTGTGACAGCTCTGGGGGGACAGCACAGTCCTGCACTCCCAGCCTCCTGCAGGGCCAGGCTGAGGTCATCAGAGCTGCTCTCTGCCCAAGGTGCTTCCTTGCCTGCCAGAGAGGGCTGGTTAATGATTAACATGACAAAGGGACCTCCCCAGGCTGCCCCTCCACTTTACTGTGCTGCATTTGAGACCATGACCTGGCACTCAGTTCTCCCTTCCCTCAGTCAGCTCTCATCTGTCCCTGCCCCGCAGGTCAGTGCAGCAAAGCCTGTGCCAAAGGCAGTAGGAAATGTCCTCTTTGTTCCAGCCCCTTGGGCTGGGTCTTCCTCTCCTGCAGCCCAATATTCTCCTTGGCTCTGGCCCAGAAAATGAAGTTATTCCCCAAAGGCCAGCACAGCACAGGGGTTTTCCAGGCAGTCAGTGGCTGTGGCTCTCACACACTGCCTCAGCCTCACTTGTATCCAGCCACACATGATGCAATGACGTTAGACCCTTACAGCATGAAATACAGCAGATGAATCAAATATTCAGGGGAAAACCAGCTTGCTTTCCCGTTGCCTTCTGAATTGTGCCTGTGCTCTCTTTTTAGGCAAACCTGAGGTCTTCAGCTAGGGCTTCACTGCTGATCTAGTACCAGAAGCCAGTGGTCCTGCTGATAGGAACATCCATAGCAGGGACTTGCTGTACAGGATTTTTTAGCATAGCCTTGCTCTGAGTCAGCTCTGACTTGCAGATGATGACGAGTACAAACTACCCTGCAATGCACAGCACCGGGGCTCCCCTTCCCTGCCATGTAGGATTCCACCCATCAGCTGCACTTGGAAGAGGCTGGGGGGGGAAGAAATGAGAGCAAACTAAATTCCTTGTGCTTTCATGAGTCATGAAAAAACCCCTCCAACTGTCTCAACAGCACATCTGTTTGGGTATTTTCAAGGAAGCTGGAATGCATCCTCAGAGCTCTTCCATGAGAAAAAGTAAACATGTCATATATAAAACATTTTATTAAACATTTTATACAACAAATTATATACAAAAATAAAATATACAAGAAAAATAATCTTTTCCAGCTTAGTGATTTGATTCCTATCTGTTACACACATACACATTAGACCCTCTTCCATCCAGCACTTGCCTGCATATGCTGATCCAGAGGATCTGGGGGATGTTACAGCTTGTGTGCAGTACTGGAGGAATCCCCACAGAGTGCCAGAAGGAATCTACAAAAGGCATGGTAAAAATAAAGAGCTGTGCCCCTATCAGTGCAAAATTGTTTCATGCAGCAGCTCTTGAACTCTCATAGGAAAGGGAGAAGGCATGCCTACAGCAGGGAGCATCCTAGGAGTGCACCTGGGGAACGGACTAGGTGGAAGCAAAGCCTAAACTGAATCTTCACATTTTAGTGGTCTATTTACAGAGTTGAAGGGTCTGAAAGATGAACTATATGATGGAGTAAATCAAAGAAGAGATGGCCCATTAGCGTAATTTTTCTCCAAAAGTGTAATGACAGTTAAGCTCAATGTCACCAGTGTTGCACAGGTAAGCAGCAATCAGAACTAACAGTCAGAGACTTATCTGCAGTGTCTCCTCTAAGCACTCTGTGGGTAAAGTGCTCATCACACCACACGTGGGGAGGATGGTAACCTGCTCCCCAGGCCTGTGGCACCCCACCAGGTCAGACTCCATGGCACAGTGACAGCTTCCAGCAAAAGCTTCACCTCCAGAGCAATGAGGTGGGAGCTGCAGCTGAGCACCTTGAGCACCAGAGTCCTGCTAGCGAGATGGGGTTCCTTCTGAACATTGATAATGGTGTTTTTCATGCTAACCTTCCCAGGCCTACAATTGAAACGGAATAGAAAAGCTACTTTCTTCCTTCAGTCAGTAACAAAAAATTTCTTCTATTCTCTCCACGCTTGCTGAAATTTCAATCCAAGAGCAGTTTGTGGTTGGAGGAAGCCAAGGGTTTACAATCCACAGGGAATGACTTGCATGGTTGGCCTTACTGTATCCAGCCAGGAGAAGTCTAGGCTGTTTTTCTGCTCATAGAACCTGAAATCCATCTCTCCTAGATAAAAGGAACCAAGAATGGGCACTGAATTAATGCAGCAAGAGCAAAATAGTGTATAGATATATTAAAAATAAATATCAAAAATGGAAAGATTTCTCAGATGAGAGTAAATACTTTATACTATTATTTTCCTAAAACACATCAAACACTTTCTATTAAACTGTTTCATTTAAGCTATTGCTAGAGGAAATTCTACAGTCATATTCCAAGGAATTCCTGAGAGCTGACCTAACTTACACATATATAACCCTGAAATCTATAGGCTTTGCTTACTGGAGGTGTTTTTGACTTTTGCTTTTTATCAACAAATTCCTCACAGCCTTCCAACAGGCTGCTTGGGAATCTCAGAACACAAGGATGGTGAATTCCAGCTGCCTCCCAGTCAGTGCCTTATCTGCGTCACTCTGTGACCCTGGCTGCCAGGGACAGCCCGGAGCTGTACCTGAGGTCGTGTCGATGTCCCCGTCCTGCTCCTTGTAGCTGTAGGTGCTGCACAGGCTCTGGGTGCCTGACTCGTTGGTGAGGAAGCCTTTCCCCCCAATGCTGGTGCTGTGCCAGTCTTGGGTTGGTCCGAGCAGCTGGAAGAGAAGGAGGAGATGGTAAAAACTCCTTCCTGCTCTGGGTGCAATGCTTATGTGCCCTTAATTAGAAGACAGGTAAGCAACAAGATCTATTTCCTCATGCTAAGTTGTATAAAACTTGTTTTGTCACAGTTAAAAAAAAAAAAAGTTCATGCAAAACAGCAAGGGCTGGAGCACCTTTTCATCTCCTCCTATCTTATCAGTGGGATGAGCATGACATGTCTGGAAATGCAGATTAGGAGCTAAATGTGTTCGAGGTGGAGGGAAGGGCAAAACTGAAAAGTCTGGAGGATCTTTGCAGACCCTAATACAACAACCTGAGATCAAGGAAATGGCCTCAAGTTGTGCTAAGGGAAGTTTATATTGGGTATTAGGGAAGAAATTTTAATGGAAAGGATTGTCAAGCATTGGAACAGGCTGTCCAGGGAAGCGGTGCAGTCATCATTTCTGGACGTGTTCAAAAAAATGATGATATGGCACCTGAGGACATGGTTTAATGAACGTGGTGGTGGTGCTGGGCTGATGGTTGGTCTTCATGTCTTAGAGTACTTTTCCAACCTTAATGATTCTCTGATTCTATGAACCTCTAGTCCTAGCAGTATCTTCCTCTGACTTTCGCATGAAGGGTAAATATTTCCATTGGTGTGTCCTCTCCAGTTCATGTTTGCAAAGCACCTTTCTCTTTATTTTTCATTTTTCAGGCTTCCTCATTAAGAAAGAGTATGTTCAGCTCACATGGGACTGGATCAGAGACTTGCTTCCCTTTCTCTCTTGGTACAAACACCAACTTTGAACAATTTTATTCTGACCAGAAGGGCTGCTTTTACCTTAAAAATATCTGGATTTATTTCCTCTTCATCTTCATCTGTGACTGTTTTGTAAGCACATAAAAAAAAGGGAAGAAAACATAGATGTCAAGTTTTAGCCCTCATACTTCTGCTTCTTCACCACAAAACCTGCTTCGTATTCTCTTGTCACACAACATGACCACCTTTTATTCATGCCCACCCCAGACCCCTCACAGCCCTTAATCTCTGATGCTCTTCAGCAACTGCATGTGGAGGTGCAGGGCTCCAGCCAGCTCTGATGCCTCCCCAGGGCTCAACAGAGCAGAGCCCACTTGCTGTGGAAGATGATAAGAGGAAGAGGATTTGCACCCCAAGTGAAGAACCACTCTGATCTATCCATGTTAATTATTTATTTCCCAATGGCAAGCATGGCTACCTCCACCATCTCTGCTGGAGCAGGAGGCATTTCAGAGCTTTTCACCCATGGGTAGGTGGCATGTGCCAGCTCTTCCCTTCTGCACCCTGCTTGGTTTGGTAACTCCAAATTCCCCAATCTATCAGGTGGGGGTTGTTTTTTCTACAAGATAGCTCTTGTTTCTCCTGTTGGCCCAGGCACCCCTTCATCCTGCTGCCTTGCCTCCAGCAGACCAGTGAAAGACTAGGCTAGGAAAAAGGAAATACTCACCCTCTGAGGACGAAGCCAGGGGAGACACCTGGAGCTGGTAGAGGTCGTTGGTGCTGTCAGCCATGGTGACCTCCAGTGCTGGCCTCCAGTCGGGCAGGGAGCCGCTCACCTCGCAGGAGGACAGGTCTGTGGGGTGCACCAGGAGTTGGCACTCACAGGACAGAGACAGCCAGCCTTGTTTCCACCCAGCCAGCCTGACACTGCAGCTGCCCCAGCCCCAAGACTCATCTTTCACCATGGGTTTAGCACAAATGGCATTTTCCACTCTGCTCAGACCTAAACCCAGCGTCTCACCTAAGGTGATGGCTGTGCTCTCCACCTCCACTTCCTGCCCTGCATAGTCGTGAATGGTGTAGCCACTGTGGTCATCTGGCAAAGGAGTGTTGGTTAAGCTTTCTGCTGACTCTTTCAGCCTTGTCTCTTCGTAACACTGAAAACAAGGGTAAAGCATGAAAGACTTGTCTAAGACATGCAAGTTCCCATATGAAAAAAAGTTAAGAAAGAAAACCACCAAAACCTCTAGCTTCTTAAGCTGCCTCTACAGACACATACCTTTCTCTTGCTCTTGTTTCTTGCTTCTCTTGAAGACTTTGACTTCCTTTCTGTGAAATAAAATTAGACAAACGTGAGAAAGGGCTGCACGTTTTAGGCAAGTGTGAGCTCTTGCAGCCTTGAAACCTGCTCAGCAAGCTCAACTACTGCCACCACCAGCCAGTCCCCATGACCCCCTGATGCTGCCTTTAGGCATGTTTAAGGACTTTGGGATAAAATGAATTGTTTGTACAAGCTGTTCCCAGCAATACCCAGTGAGCAAGCCCAGTGCTACCAACAGCTCTGTCACCCCCTGCTTACAAAGAGCAGGACCTTTAAGTGCTGTTTAAGCAGTGCAACTCCAGCTGGATTGCCAAGGGTTTACCTTTCTTCTGATGCTTTGTCAAGGGTGGCAGCATCCTGTAAACCCTGACAGCACTGGAGCCCTTGTTGATGCTTTTATCCTTCACTTCTTCAATGTCAGGCAGGGAATTCATGGCACAGCGGAAATTTGCCTTCCAGGTTTTTGGATCAGGATCTTTCTCACCTTCTTTATACCTTCCTGTAAACAAGACACGAGTTGGGTATTTTAGACTTCCCAGTGCTGCTTTTTCCCACCAAAAGATACCAACATTCTATTTTCTGACATATATACTAGTAGTTAATCCAACTACCAGTGTAAGTCAAGGCCAAAACAAGCCTCGTGTAAGCTAGCCATGTGAGTGATGGGAAGGGAAAGGCAGCACACACCTGTATGAATGGCCCAGCTCCGGAAGAGGCAGGCATCCTTCTCCATGTCCCAGCCATGCTTAGCTGCATGTTTCCATGGGATTTGAAAGATCCTCTTATCCTGAAATTTAACCAATAGATTTGAATTAAAAAAAGAAATGTCACATGCCAGTTTGGAATGATGGATTTAATCAGAGTTAGCTGCAGCTCAGAAATGTTATAACTATTGGCATGTAACTACAATGGCTATTTAATCTATATTTTAAGTAAATAGCCATTGTTCCATCTGTTTTGTTCATGGCATTTAAGGCTTTTTATGATTTCTGAAATTGGGAAAAAAACCCAAAGATACTACAGTACAGTAGAAGTGAGCAATATTATCAACTTTATCCCAGAATAATTTCAATCCATAACATCTAACCTATTAGTATGTCATAAATTACAGCATTTTTTCTAGATACACTTCATCAGATAATCCCCCTTTTTAAGCTGCCCATAAGATCCTGCAGCAATCCTACCAAAAAAATGTAGCTTAAATATCCTGTTGGTGTGGATATGGAAACTTCAGAGACTTGGTTCAATAAGCTCAGTGATCTTGACCTGTGCTACACCCTGGTAACAGGGATATGCCTTACAGACCAATAAATACAACATTTTTTCAGGCTGAATCTTAAAAATGGAAGCAACTGGAGTATAACAGCAGCTGCTTATCTGGAACAGGAGGTGACTTGGCTCAATGAGCAGCAGGAGTTAAAAGAGATTTTGAAGGTTTCTTCGTTCTCCAACATACTCAGAATGTTTTCATTGCCATTTATCATTCCCCTCGTGGGAATTTTCTGAAGGAAAAATGGAACTACTCCACTGTGTACCAAGCAGAGCTACCTTTTCTGCAAACAAAACCTGTTGTTTTTTAAACATAATGCTGGCAAGTTTTCTCCCTGTCATTTCCTTTATGATCTTCACTTGTGTTTAGTGTCATTTAAGAACACGGAATGTTAATGCTACACAAGTAGTAAGTACTACTAATGATGATAATAGTACAAAGCAGCCTCACCTTGTTAATCCATATCAGTCCAGGTATTTGATTGGAATCAATCTGCATTTCCAACCACGGCCTCATGCGCATTCTTGACACTGGCATGTTGGCTGTGAAAGGAGTAACAAACAGGTCAGACAAACTCTCACCGCCGTTTGAAGCACTCTGCAGTGTCGCCCCTCCCATACCGCCTGTGCTCAGCATCACCGCCACTGCTATCAGAACTACTTTTCCAGCGTCTTAACTCTCGCTCAGTGCCTCTCACCCTCTCCTGGAGGGAAGCGCTTCCTGCTCCGCCTGGCTCAGCTCCAAAACAGGGCTCAGGTTTGGAATTCGGCAGAGGCCGATGGCAGCAGTGGGTGCTCAGCCCGTGCTGCGTGGGGAGCTCTGGGTTTGAGCGGTCAGGCCGCGGTGAGCCCGGTTCCGAGCCCCGTTCTGGGTCCCGCCAGCACCGGCATTGGGTGCGGCTGTCCCCCCGCTCTACAGCCACGGAGAGGCACCGACTGCAAAATCCTCTTCTAAAAAGTTTATTATTAATTAAGTTGCGCAAGGTAGGGGCAGCGGTCCTGCTGCAGGTGGGGATCTCCGGTCCCACCGCGACCCGTCCCGAGCAGCGGCGCTGCCGCCGCGAGCACCGGCCCTCCCGGCGCTTCCTTTGCACAAATAATTTCCTGTTTGCGGTGTTTTTCCAAGACACACAACCCAAGACTGCCCAAAGAACGCGCTTCTAACTTTCACCAGCCACCCGCTCGGCGGAGGTCCCGGGGAGTGCCCGCCCCGGGCCAGGGGCTGCCAGAGGCTGCCAGAGGCTGCCCCAGCAGCGGGGCTCGGGCCGCCCGCTCCGCCGGGGCTCAGCGGCCGAGCGGAGCCGCGTCGGGCCGGGGCTGTGCACGGACAGCCCGCCCCAGCCTGTGCCCGAGCCTTGTGCGTGCACCGCGCCGCTGCCCGCGGGGGATGCGCGGTGCCCACCCCGACGGCTGCGGGGCAGTGCCCCCGCTCCGCCTCCAGAACTGCCCCGCACGCTGAGGCCGGCGCTGCCGCCTCTTGACCAGCAGAGTTCAGCCGCGCCGTGCCCCTGGCACCGCTCCCAGGGACCCTGCGGGGCGCCTTCTCCTGGAGCCTCCGTGCTGCGCAAAGCGGGGGCTAACGGTGGGATGGGATAAGAGAGGATGGGACAGGATGGGATGGGATAGGGTAGGATGGGATAGGCTGCACCAGGACCCACCTCACTGTGCCGCGCAGTGCCGAGCTGTGGCTCTCCCGGCCGACGCGCACCGTCCGCCCGCCGCCCGGCTCTGGCTGCCGCGGGCCGCGCCCGCGGGTATAACGCGGCGGCTCCGGGATTCCCCGCGCCCGGGCCCGGCCGCCGCCCGGCCAATCCGCGCCGCCGAGAGGGCAGGACGCGCCCGTCATTGGCGGCCGCCGCAGCATCACTTCGGGGAAATCACGCTGTTGTAGCACCAGCGGCTCGGGGGGCGCGGCTCCCCCGCTGCGAGCGCCGGCCCCGCCCCGCCGCCCGCCCGCGCTTCCCCGCCGGATCCAGCGCCGGAGGCACCCAGCCACTGCCCCACCGAAGGATCCAGTATCTCTCCCATGGAGGGATCCAGCCACTGTCCCACCGAAGGATCCAGTTTCTATCCCATGGAGGGATCTAGTCTCACACAGACATCCAGTCCCCGTCCCCCCAAGGGATCCAGCCTCGTCCCGCAGGGATATCCTGTTCCCTTCCTGCAGAGGGATCCAGCCCCCGTCCCGCAGAGTGATCTAGCTCCCTTTCCAGGAAGAGACGGTGGAGTCGCCAGAGTAATTCCTGTGCACATCATGCTGCACCTAATAACCAGGACCAGTGTGTGCCAGGTACCCCTGCCTGGCCTCAGCAGACCAGTGGCAGGACAAGGGGAATGGCTTCATGCTTAAGAGGAAGATATGTTCTGATTAGATATTAAAAATACATTCTTCCCTGTGAGGTTGCCCAGAGAGGATGTTCCATCCCTGGAAGAGTTCAAGGATAGCTTGGATGGGGCTTGAAGCAACCTGGGCTGGTGGAAGGTGTCCTTATTGCAAGGTGTTGGCACCTTTAAGGTCCCTTCCAATCCAAAACACCCTGGGATCCTGGGATTCTGTGATAAATGGTGACCAGTGGTTTTGTCCCCTCTTATCCCTCTTGGAGGAAGCCTGAGGAAGGGAAATGGCAGCATGACAGAAGGTTACTGAAACCATCAGGATTTCTCTTCATTCCACTGTAACTGTATGACAATGAGATTAGATTTTCACCCAATGTCTTCAAGGTGCATTCCATTCAGCAGAATATTAGGGCATTTTTAATTACTTCCATAATTTGAAGGAAGGTTTGTAGTCATATGCAACAGGAATTTATATTGGGAGAGAGGTACAAAGATGCATGGGCAGCTGAGACAGAGGTGTGACACCACCACACTGACTGCCTGCTCTGGCAAGTTTTCTTCTTTTAATATAAAGATAAAAGAAAAGCCCCAACCTGGTTTTAATTGCAGAGAAACACCCTGTAGGAGTCCCATGCTTTCTCTTAACTGATGTTTTTTTGTCTGCTTGACACAATTAACTTGTGGTAGGATCCTCCAGTCGGGTCTTTGTGCTGAGAGAGGCACCATTCACCACCACCATAAGTAAAAATACAACATATTAGGTAAATTTAAAAAATAATCAAAGAAGGAGAGATACTAGATATTAATAGACAAATAGAAGCTAACATAAACATGACCTGAAAAAGACAGAAGATATTTGATGTTTCAATGTAAATGTCATCTACAAAAATAGTCACACCACCTCTTACACAACCTAAATATTGACGAAAAAAGATTATGCTTTTGAGCTACAACCTCCCATGGTTTGCTTTCATTGCTTACCCAGCTTTAGAAAAAATGAATTCTGAGCTTCCTGGTTTCATGGGCCAAGGTCTGCGCACACCAAATGTATCAAACACCTTAATTGACTGAAGTTTGAACAGTAACTTTTTTTTTGATCCGTGACTTCAGTACTCTTGAGGCCTTTTAGTCTGCATCTTGTCAGGAATTTACATCAGACACCAAATAAATTGACCTAGAATAGAAATGCATGAAGGAAAGTTAACAGCCCCACCCCTCAATCTCCTCTTCTTTCCTTGGACAGATCCTACATAATGAAACCTAATTGACCTTTCTGTCTGTGTCCTGTCCCACATCTGCATGGCACTTTCCATGGAGCAGGGCCTGCCCAGCCTGGGATGCCTTATGCTTGTTTGTTTTTCGCTATCTTTCTGCTGAAACAAGGAAATAACTTGTGTCTCCGCAATGTTATTGACTGTCAGACTCCCTCAGAACACTCTTACAAAGCCTTCTCCTTATGAAACTGACTCCTTCCTCTCATTTATCCCACTACACTAACCATCCTTTCTGCAGCTTACCTAAGGTAGCAAGAATATACACTTAAATTTGTCATGTATAAAAGTATAATGAAAGAATAATCTCAGGGAGTCATTAAATGGTTGGCCATAAAGCCCTTCTGCTCCACCCAGTTAATCATCCAAGAATTTCCATAATGTCAACATCTTTATTCTCTGCAGATTCATAGCCCTGCTCCAGCCTTATTTCACAGGTGTCTTACCTTGGACACCTTTTTTTCATATTCCCTCCATGAATTGCCAATTCCCTTGTTTTATCAGTAAGCTGAGACACAGAGAAGCAGATCACTGACATATTTTACCCCATTTACTTGATCCAGGGGCATCCCAAGTCTAGGATTGTCGAATGCAGAAGTAATATCTAATAGTATCTTTATTTAAAACCAAATTCTATCCCAAACTGATCCTCCAGCATGTTGTGTTTGTTATCCTACAACACGTACCTCTCCCTCTCAGCCAGTGCCCTGAGATAAAGAGCTCCTAGGAAAACTGTAATTCAAGTGATACAAAAAATGTGACCTGGATGGCATCAGCCATGGAGCTCCTGGCATGGCCCCTCAGGAGGGAGGTTATGGATCAGATACAGAGGCTCAAACACGGGTGTTTTTTCTCTGGCATCATTGCTCTTGTTTAAGCAGCTCAGGATGGCTCTGATCCTGTATTAATGGAAGAAATCAAGGTTAATCGAGAACCCCGTGTGCCATGGGGTGAGGCTCTGAACACCCAGAAACACTTTGAGAAGCAGGAAGGTAAAGGGCAGAAAAGCAGCACACCTCAGTGCAGGCATGCTTGCCGACATGGGTACAGACTGCAGAGCTGCATTCCCCTCCAGGTGAGCCTCGGGCTCCAAATCTCTGAGGTGTCTTGGGGGAAAGAGCTTGAGCATTGTACCAAGCGCTAATATCAATCTTTGCTTTGAAGATTTTCCTTTCCCCTGTGAACCCAGCCAGGGGAGAAGGCCCACAGTGGGGAGGAATGTGTGCTCTGACAGTGGGGAGAGGGGGAGATGGAGACAGGGAGAGACGGGGCTGGGGCTGCCTGAGAAAGCTGCCTCTGGTGACTTGGTAGTGAGCCCAGGGAGGCAGCAGAGCCCTGGGCCTGCATGCCCAGGCAGTATTTGTGGGGTGGGGGAGTGAGCAACCACAGGATGGAGCAGGGGTTTGTGGAGGGGAAGAGTTGGAGCACGGTGAGAGGGAGCCTCTTATCTCTTTCCTCGTGGCAGTGGCTGCTTCCTTCCATCTCTGCATCAGGACCTTCCCGTGCCCACCAGGCCTCAACTGCCCTTCCAGACCCCACTCTGTGGAGGTTTGTTTGTTCCTCTTTTCTACCTGCTTTAATTCAAGCCCTTTCCAATTTCCTCCCCACCCCACCTGCCTCTGTCCCCTTTCCTCATCAACTCAGAAACAAACCTTCCTTTTTGGAGTGGGACTTTAAAAATGGGTGCAGAGCTGTTCCTATAACCTCAACATTGTCATGGTTCCCCACTAAGGAGCACCCAGCTGCTGTCACAGTTTGGTGGCCGAGGTCATCTGTGGGCAGGAAATGCCTCTTCCTCCCAAGGGCTTTCCAGGTAGTGAGGGGTTAATGCAGAGTGATTTTTTTTCAGGAGCAGGGATGGAGTATCATCCCTAAAAACTGCCAAGGGGCAGCCAACCAAAACAACACGGCTGCTTCTGGGTCAGAAGCCCTGAGGGTGCAGGGCTTGCTGCAAGCTGTTTCCATTTCTTATAAATGCCTATTTTACAGAAAGGAACTCTGGTTGAAGCACATGCAGGAGAATGAATGTCAGAAATGTTGAAACTCTGCCCAGCTGGCATGATGTAATCCCTGCAAGTGCTCTGATCTGCAGGCTACAATAAATATATCCTGGGATGGGCCGCTTACAGTTTCCTGGAATTAGAAAGACCTATCTCAAGACTCAAAATTATTCGTTTTTCCCAGTGATAACACAGCAAATTTTTAAATTAGACCAAACAAGATTGTGTGCTTGTTTTGGTGGAAATAAAGGAAATTGCAGAAGCTTCACTTATGGTCTTGGGCTTCTCATGCTCCTTGAAGGAGGACACAGACATGTCATGAACAATTTGCTGAGGGAAGTTCTGTAAGCTGCAAGCACCTGGCAGCTCTGACAGTTTTGCTGACAAGGGTGCAGACCTGCAGCAGCCTGAGCTCCTAAAAAAGGCCAAAGAGACTCGGACCCTCACCCAGGGCACAGTGGAGCAGCTGTGGGACAGTCACGGGGCTGTGCTGACCCGGGGTGCCCTGGGGTCCTGGCCACTAACCCCCAGGTCAAATGGGAATCCGTGCACTTGAGACTGCTGGAGTCCTGCCAGTGAAGCTGGGGCTGAGATCAGTAGAAAAAATGTGAGTTGTGTCTTCAAGTTCTTTAATTTGTCCTTAGAGTGTCCATCTGAGAGTGTGAATGGACCTCCTGCCCAACTAGCCACTGCAGAGCAGGAGTCAAGCCAAAGGGACAAGCAGCATGGGGTGGGCAAGGCTGGCTGTGCCTCTCATCTGGCTCCTGGCTGGGAAAGTTTGCTCCATCCTGGACTGATTGGAAAAGGTGCCAAACTTCCCAGCTGTTGGAAGGGAAGGACAGTGCCTGTGGCAGCGTGGTGCTGTGCCTCCAGCCCTTCTCAGGGGTAGGCAGGGGCTTCTGGGGGCTCATGGAGACCAACCCCACCTCCTGCCCAGCCCCTGCCTGCACCCAGCCCCTGCTGCTGCCCTCCAGCAGCTGGAGCAGGAGGCAGGGAGACCCTGGGGATGGACTCCAGCCCTCCAGGAGAAGTCAGCTGGAAGTGGAGGCTGCAGTGCAGTGACCTGTGAGTGTTTCACCTCTGCTTCGTCTTGGAAAGAACATCCATAATGCCTGCTTTGTTTGAAGTAGTCTGTCCTGTCCTTGTGCAAAGAGGGTGCCAAAAGGAAGTGGAGCAGGATGCAGTGGGAAGGGGGCTTGT